ACCTGGGTTTTGAAGAAGAGATCTGAGCTTATTGACTGGATGGCGAGTAGGCCGGAGCCCACAGTCAAGGAAGCTACAGTTGTTTTTCGAGAATCCTTTCGTCAGATCACCTCTGGTCGGGGAGGTCCTTGTGTATCAGTGGTGATAGATTAATAAGATGTTTGACTTAGAATTGTTTATACCCCAGATCGACCGTATCTGTTTGATACTCATTTGAAATCGAAATTACTGTTCATTGCTATTAATAAAGTCGAGCCTGGGTTTGACCTACATATTACTCAACTCACCCAAAGTTGAACAAATTGACTCACAGTTTTTTTGAATCGATCATTATTATCATATGTATTGAACCATGATCTCATGATTGATTGTTATACCCATCAATTGATTGAGCCTATCATGGATTAATCTGACAATTGTTTGAGTGAATTATTCATCAAATAATCTTATCATTTTTTCAGTTTGCCTTTAGGCATTACAAATCTTATCACAGTAATAAGGATTAAAGAAATGTTTTAAGGTGCTTGATTGATTGCATGTTGATCCATACAATAACTAAAATCAACTAAAAGATCCAACCTTTTGTTATGAAATCCACATCAGTTCTCATCTTCAGCTTTTTCTCTAACCATCCATTTCGTAATCTGACCATCTCTTCTAGAAAGAAGTTGTAGCGGATAGCATGCATACCTCTGCAAATGGATGCAAATCCACCGTACCAGATGTTTGTCAGTTCGGCAGCTGAAGAGTTGAATAACCACTTGCCACCCTTTTTCAGGTCAGGTATCTTGTTTGGATCAGTAAATTCTTGGCAGAATCGATCGGATTCTTTATGTGAACACATGTGAAAGACATCAACTGGAATGACAACATCCTTGAAAGCTTTAGCATCCTCAGGATTGCTCCAGATGTGCTGAACCAAATTGCACGTGTTATCGTAGAATATTAGGTTGGGGATACTTGCTGGGAAAGAGTCCAATATGAATTGCTACCACATATATAAAATATATGAATGTCAGTTGGAATTAATTTAATCTAATTATGAAATGAATTTCATCCTGACTGACCTTAACAGCGCTGGGGGCTTCTGCTCGGTAAAAAGTACGCCGTGCCAAAATGATCCCACAAGTACTGACAATCAGCTGGTCATTGTGAGTACGACAGCGTGACATACAGGGTTTACGGCCATGTTTTTTTTTATTTGTCTGATTGTCAGTGTTTTGAGAAAGGTTGTCGTCCATATCTTGTCCACCATATCTTTCTGCTTCATGTTTACGATCGGCCTCATCAACGTCAACAAGTGTTGATTCATCCAATTCTGCTGTCCAACAATTTTGATGGACTGATGGATCTGTTGGTAATCTAGCTCCAGGACGAGATAATTTTGATGTCATTGTGAAGTTTTGAAGCTTGCGGTCGTGGAACTGTTTTGAAATAGCAACATGTTCAGGATCATTGCAGGTGTCATGCTCAGGTTGACGTGTCCTTGTACATGGCTGAACTACACATTCATCTTTCAAGAGACACTGATGATCTTTACACAATCTATCATGTATGCTTGTTAAGACATTGAGACAAGGGCCATCGGGAATTGGAGAGTTTGATAATTCAGCTATCTTCTTCAATTGTTCACTTGAAGCACTGCAGCACCAATGGCCAATAGTGACACCATCAGTGACACAAGCACGGATTGCTAGATTAATCAGAAGGGAAAGGATTATTATGTCAGAACAATCATGAAAAGGAATAACACAAGAAATTCCCTACCTTTATTTTCATCAGAAACATATAGGCATTTGCCACATGCGTGATCTTTATACTCAGTACCAGATCTTGACCAATAATCAATTTGTTCCTTCATTGCTTTCAAATATCTCTGAGAGTCTATACCAGCAGTTGGAACGGTAAGAACAGCATTTCGGAGGTCAAAGTGATACAATAGACGGTGAATTTCAAGACCATCACGACAGACTTCCGGTGACATTGACGCTCCAAAAGATTGTTCTTCTTTGAACTTTAGGGATTCATCGCTTTTGTGCTGATTGTTATACAAGTTTACAAGATTGAATATTGAGACACTATGGGTTGATTGGATCAGATCAAGTTCTTTCACAATGAAAAAAAACATCAAAAACTTACTGAGCCAACATCTGCATAAAGGAAAAATGCTCGGCCAGGTCCTTCTTCATAAAGTAGTGTTGATGTACTTGAATAACTTCCAGATCTCGTCCCTGAGCTTTGGTATAAAAATATCTAGTACCCTGGTGGGAATAGTATGTTGGTCTAAATGCAGTGCAGCAATCTATCCAGCATCCTCGTCAGTTTTTTGAAATCCCACAGACACAAAAGAAATTACCAATTACCTTCACAATATAGCGAGACAATCCTTATTGATTGTATTCCATCGAGACCATACAGATAGCCATTTATGATATCCTTTGTCTTGACTGGAAGATCCCGAAGGTGATTTGGATCACAGAACGGGCAATGCTTGACCGGTGGATAGAGAAATCGAGTCGGAATCTGACGAGTAAACTGCAAACCAACCCTCTTGACCACTTTGAAAGGAAGGACTAGACATCTTTCAAGGAAAGGGAATGCATGTAACCATAAGTGAGAGAGAGCAGCACGTGGGATTTGGTATTCGAGTGCTTCAAAGAGGTATTCCATATGTGAACGAGTTTCTGATAAATATAAACCACGACCAGCACGCAGGAGCAAATCACCTCCAAATTGACAAAAGCGTACAAGATCTTCAATTTGAAGGTTGTTGTATACCTCGGGAACAGTCTTCAGCTTTCGAACAAAGTCCCTGAAAAACATTGCGGAATCGGGGACGGAAAAGATCAGACCAGTAACAATGATCTCTCGAACAGAACAAACAAAAAGAAGCCCACGAGACTATTTAATCATAAAGGTCTCTTGCACAACTTCTATTGATTGATTGGATTTATAATCCGATGTCCTGGATAGAAAAAGTTTCATATCGATGAATCCGGTCTGCTGGATTCCCACTTCTTACAAGTTTTGTGCACACTTTCCACTATTGAAGCAGATTGAAGCATTACTTAAAACATCCCAAATACCAAATCCGAGCATTGAGCATTATGATTTAAATCATACAATTTAATACTGAGACTTTTCAATCAATGTGCCCAATTGTTTGAGATATTCGATGAGCTTGTTGAGGGTTCATTGCTATTGGCTCACTGCCTTCCAACAAACCCGGAACAGCATATCTGATCAAAATCAAAAGCCTTATCTCAAGTCCAGTTCATTGTTTTTGGCTCACTGCCGTCCAACAAACTCAGAGTTAGCGTATTCTGATGATAGGCTTGTGATATGGTGAATCAAAAAATCCGCACTTCAATGGTCTTTATATATCTTTGGGATGGTATCAAATTGACATTTTGCTTTTATCGAAAGACTTAAAGCGATTAAAGCAAGACAATTAAAAGCAAGACAATTAAAAGCAAGACAAGGTCATTGAGCAACACCTAGCATAAGCATTGAATCACGAAAGGAAATGATTTGCATAATGAAAGCTCTCATAAGCAAAAGGATCCAAACCGTCGAAATGCAGGTATTCCTTCAAAAGCCTCCAAAGCAATCACAAGTATACACTTTTCGAATCAAAAGAAACGTGCACAATCAAAAGTGAGTAATTAAGTACTTTTTTTGCTTTCGATTGCAGCTTCTCATGTAGAATGAAATGTGTTCTTGCTTTCAATATAAAGAATTGAAAGTTTTCTTTTCTTCTGGATCAAAATGAAAAGAACAAAATCAAATCAATGATCATGTTCCCTTCTTTATTATCCAATCAAATTAATTAGATAATACATGTGATTATCTAAGCATCGATTATCTAATTGAATCGAATGCTTTCGATTAAAAGAATTGAGAGCTTTATCAACTCCTGATCCAAAAGAAACCACGACATTGAATCAGTCATCTAATCAAACCAATTATAAATCAAAGTGTATATATCCTGTTTTATGAAGTCCTATGTATCGGCACCACAGGAGCTCAACAAAGACAACCGCACTGTGACTGTTTCATTTGACTCTCACTACTCTCACATAACGTATCTGATACTTGTATCAATACAGATACCTTTCTTAGAAAACTTCTCAGACGAAAAGCGATCTTGAGCAAAAAAAAGCGCCACTGGAAAAAAAATTAAACCAAAGCTGTACGACTCACCCCACGTCTCGCGCTCGTCTCGCAGAAGGGGGGATACGGCTTCCTACCTCAAGTATAGGCCTGTCGGAGACCCTGCGTAGCACTCGAATCTCTCACTCTCAACCACATCCGGTGGACACCTCACACCAACTCGGAACCAACTAGTCTCGATTTGTCTATCTAGTTGGTCATGAAGCCACCCAGGAGGTCTGACCGCATGGTCTTCCTGCGTTTCCACTCTCAGGCTATCCCCATTCCGAACATGCTAAACAATTTCTTGCTACTTTATATCGCTTTACCTAAATTTATCATCCATCACTTAGTATTTTATTTAGTATCATTGGATTCCTATCATCATCACATCAGATTTACCAACAGTTTGATCTACTCAAGCATGGCATCGTTGCCAGTCCAATCCGATCATTTGGAAGATACCACGTCCAGCTCGAAGGATCCTTCCACTGCTAGCGCAACACCTTCAACCCGATCAAAGAAACGGAAACAACCGGCATCTAAACAAAGTGGCACGAAGTCTAAACGCCAAGCAGCCCAAAATGTAAGTATCATAAATTTATGATCTTATCAAATTGGTGTAGATGAAGCTTATACTTACTCAATATTATTATAGAAACCTAGACCCGATTCCGTTCCTGAAGGCCTCGACGTTGACCGAGACTCTGATATTGAGGTTACTGGCGAAGTCCATGCTGAACCCAAATCTCAAGGCCGTACTGCACGCGTACGTGAGCTGCTTAAGTATTATGAAGACCCAGTCAAATGTCCGGATGAAGTAAGTGGTTTTCGATTGAGCCTTCTTTCTATTACAAGCACTGATCTACCCATCTATGTGATCTAGATAGGTAGCGGTGTATTGAGGTATTACAAGTGTCGGTTCTGCCGTGAATCGTTTGCGAAGTGTGCTAATACCTATCAGACATTATACGGCCATCGCAATGGCGCCGAAACTGGACCAGTATGTGTCAAACAACACATTGCAATCAAGCAAGGTTTCAAGCTCGAGCCATCTTGGGCAGAACAACAAAAGGCTAAGCAGACCCAATCCAACACTTTGGATCAATTCGTCGTTAAACAGCCCTTTGGTGTCAAGAATATGA